CAACAGGGATTTCCGTGTCGTTTGTAAGAAAGTAACCCTTTGATCAATTTAGTGGAAAATGTAAGGTTAACCCCTTGCTATTTATAATTAAATTTTGCTACAAATCGCCTTGTCTTTATTTTAACCTGATATCAGAGGTGTCCTTGCTCACGTTTTGTAACCTTTGGAAAAGGCACTTTATAAATTATTATTACCTGTTGAAGATAAACATGTTTTTCTTCTCCAATATCTGATTAATTCAGAGATTCAATAAAACAAATATGATGAAAAAACAAGTATATTTTATACTGATATTCATTTGGCGTATTCTGAATGACAAGTTTGTTTCGTCAAAGTTACTTGTATGACATTCTTAATTCTTTTACCAACGGAAGTTGAAAACAAGTTTACTTATTGGTGTGTCAGAAGTTGAGTTATGCTACAAAACATGTACTTGTCCGTGTAAAATTTAAATCTACCTATTTTTATCCGACTTTATTTAATGAGTAAGATATTGAATAACAGCTGTTGAACTGTTTTTATTTAATGTTGAGAAACAAGTACTGGAATAAATACAGTAAAACTGATTTAAAGCCAATCTTTGGAGTCTTTATTATGAATGAATAATACAGTGAATTTAGCTCAAGGGGTGGTTGGGTTGAAAGACTTGGACACTGTTGATTGCCCTGGGAACAAGGTTTATGCCCTGGGAATGAGGTTAAAAGCCCTGGGAACAAGGTTGATACCCTGGGAAGGAGGTTAACAGCCCTGGGAACAAGGTTGATGCCCTGGGAAGGAGGTTAACAGCCCTGGGAACAAGGTTGATGCCCTGGGAAGGAGGTTAATAGCCCTGGGAACAAGGTTGATGCCACTGGGGATGAGGATGAAATATACTCACTAAAATATACAAACTTGTTCAAAACTCGTTTTTAAATTCAATCATTTATTTGTACCATAACGCTTGTATAAACCAGATAAAGAATTAATAAAACGGTTATCTTGCATTAATAAGTATTTCTAAGTTGTTTGCAGAAAAGTCAATTTTTGGCCCAATTTAACAAAAAATGTAAGGTTAACCCCTTGCAATTTTTTTCAATTTTGGCCGAAAAATAAAGTTACATAAAATTACACTAAAGATACCCAAGGGTCCCTTAAAGGGAATATACAACATTTGCAAACATCGAAAAATAAAACTACCAAGTTTTTACAAAATACCTTACCAAATGTCGGTAAAAATGTAAGGCTAACCCCTTGTTTTTTTTTCAATTGTGGCCAAAAAATAAAGTTGCTTAAAAATTACACTGGATTATTTTTGCCCAATTTCTCAAAATTCTCGATGTTTGAATACTGAAATGTGCTCCTGGTGCATCAAAAGGTATTTCTGAGTCGTTTAGAGAAAAGTCAATTTTTGGCCAAATTTCAGTAAAAATGTAAGGCTAACCCCTTGTTTTTTTTTCAATTTTGGCCAAAAAATAAAGTTGCTTAAAAATTACACGAAAGATGCCCAAGGGTCCCTTAAACACATTCCTACACATTTCCTGGACAAAAAGTGCCATTTAGAAGAAAGAATGCATCAATATTTTAAGCAAAATAAGTCCAAAATGATAATTTTTGACCAAAAACTGGATTATTTTTGCCCAATTTCTCAAAATTCTCGATGTTTGAATACTGAAATGTGCTCCTGGTGCATCAAAAGGTATTTCTGAGTCGTTTAGAGAAAAGTCAATTTTTGGCCAAATTTCAGTAAAAATGTAAGGCTAACCCCTTGTTTTTTTTTCAATTTTGGCCAAAAAATAAAGTTGCTTAAAAATTACACGAAAGATGCCCAAGGGTCCCTTAAACACATTCCTACACATTTCCTGGACAAAAAGTGCCATTTAGAAGAAAGAATGCATCAATATTTTAAGCAAAATAAGTCCAAAATGATAATTTTTGACCAAAAACTGGATTATTTTTGCCCAATTTCTCAAAATTCTCGATGTTTGAATACTGAAATGTGCTCCTGGTGCATCAAAAGGTATTTCTGAGTCGTTTAGAGAAAAGTCAATTTTTGGCCAAATTTCAGTAAAAATGTAAGGCTAACCCCTTGTTTTTTTATCAATTTTGGCCAAAAAATAAAGTTGCTTAAAAATTACACGAAAGATGCCTAAGGGTCCCTTAAACACATTCCTACACATTTCCTGGACAAAAAGTGCCATTTAGAAGAAAGAATGCATCAATATTTTAAGCAAAATAAGTCCAAAATGATAATTTTTGACCAAAAACTGGATTATTTTTGCCCAATTTCTCAAAATTCTCGATGTTTGAATACTGAAATGTGCTCCTGGTGCATCAAAAGGTATTTCTGAGTCGTTTAGAGAAAAGTCAATTTTTGGCCAAATTTCAGTAAAAATGTAAGGCTAACCCCTTGTTTTTTTTTTCAATTTTGGCCAAAAAATAAAGTTGCTTAAAAATTACACGAAAGATGCCCAAGGGTCCCTTAAACACACTCCTACACATTTCCTGGACAAAAAGTGCCATTTAGAAGAAAGAATGCATCAATATTTTAAGCAAAATAAGTCCAAAATGATAATTTTTGACCAAAAACTGGATTATTTTTGCCCAATTTCTCAAAATTCTCAATGTTTGAATACTGAAATGTGTTCCTGGTGCATCAAGAGGTATTTCTGAGTCGTTTAGAGAAAAGTCAATTTTTGGCCAAATGTCGGTAAAAATGTAAGGCTAACTAACCCTTGTTTTTTTTTTCAATTTTGGCCAAAAAATAAACTTGCTTAAAGGGAATATACATCATTTGCTTTTGCTGTAATTTTCAGAAATGGATGGAATTGGGGGGTTGGAAAAATATAGCAAATATAGTTACACTGACTTTTTTGAGGTTTTGGGTTCGAAAATGCTATAAAAACAATCATTTTCCTGTAGTCTGGTTCCCTGACTCCATTTAAGAAGAAATCACATATATGGGGAATTGTAAGGTCAGGGAACCAGTCTAGCTGGCTTGTACCCGTTCATAGGTGTGTAATCGATTGCAAACAAGTGCGATGGTCAACTGGGGCCAGTATTTGGAAAAAAGCCAGTTTTTTCCAACGCTGATCGGCCGATCAGCGTTGGAAATTGATACAAAAATACCACTTTTCTTGAAAATGACAGTATACCAGGTGCCATGATTTTACAGGATGCTTTACACTGTCATTCACTAACAGTCCAGCAAGGTATTTCAAAATGGTTTGGTAGTTTTATTTTTTGATGTTTGCAAATGTTGTATTTTCCCTTTAAAAACTACACGAAAGATGCCCAAGGGTCCCTTAAACACATTCCTACACATTTCCTGGACAAAAAGTGCCATTTAGAAGAAAGAATGCATCAATATTTTAAGCAAAATAAGTCCAAAATGATAATTTTTGACCAAAAACTGGATTATTTTTGCCCAATTTCTCAAAATTCTCAATGTTTGAATACTGAAATGTGCTCCTGGTGCATCAAAAGGTATTTCTGAGTCGTTTAGAGAAAAGTCAACTTTTGGCCAAATTTCAGTAAAAATGTAAGGCTAACCCCTTGTTTGTTTTTTCAATTTTGGCCAAAAAATAAAGTTGCTTAAAAATTACACGAAAGATGCCTAAGGGTCCCTTAAACACATTCCTACACATTTCCGGGACAAAAAGTGCCATTAAGAAGAAAGAATGCATCAATATTTTAAGCAAAATAAGTCCAAAATGATAATTTTTGACCAAAAACTGGATTATTTTTGCCCAATTTCTCAAAATTCTCGATGTTTGAATACTGAAATGTGCTCCTGGTGCATCAAAAGGTATTTCTGAGTCGTTTAGAGAAAAGTCAATTTTTGGCCAAATTTCAGTAAAAATGTAAGGCTAACCCCTTGTTTTTTTTTCAATTTTGGCCAAAAAATAAAGTTGCTTAAAAATTACACGAAAGATGCCCAAGGGTCCCTTAAACACATTCCTACACATTTCCTGGACAAAAAGTGCCATTTAGAAGAAAGAATGCATCAATATTTTAAGCAAAATGAGTCCAAAATGATAATTTTTGACCAAAAACTGGATTATTTTTGCCCAATTTCTCAAAATTCTCAATGTTTGAATACTGAAATGTGTTCCTGGTGCATCAATAGGTATTTCCGAGTCGTTTAGAGAAAAGTCAATTTTTGGCCAAATTTCAGTAAAAATGTAAGGCTAACCCCTTGTTTTTTTTTTCAATTTTGGCCGAAAAATAAAGTTGCTTAAAAATTACACGAAAGATGCCCAAGGGTCCCTTAAACACACTCCTACACATTTCCTGGACAAAAAGTGCCATTTAGAAGAAAGAATGCATCAATATTTTAAGCAAAATAAGTCCAAAATGATAATTTTTGACCAAAAACTGGATTATTTTTGCCCAATTTCTCAAAATTTTGATGTTTGAATACTGAATGTGTTCCTGGTGCATCAAGAGGTATTTCTGAGTCGTTTACAGAAAAGTCATTTTTGGGCCAAATTTCAGTAAAAATGTAAGGCTAACCCCTTGTTTTTTTTTTCAATTTTGGCCAAAAAAAAGTTGCTCAAAAATTACACGAAAGACACCCAAGGGTCCCTTAAAAACATTCTTACACATTTTCTGGACAAAAAGTGCCATTTCAAAGAAAGAATGCATCAATATTTTAAGCAAAATAAGTCATAAATGATAATTTTTGACCAAAAATTGGATTATTTTTGCCCAATTTCTCAAAATTCTCAATGTTTGAATACTGAAATGTGTTCCTGGTGCATCAAGAGGCATTTCTGAGTCGTTTAGAGAAGAAAAAAAACCATTTCCTATTGAGAAATAATTTGCTTAATTTAGTGATGTCAAAATAGAAACAATAATCTCCATGTGCGTGCAACTGGTAAGCACAATTCAAAACGTACCATGACAATGGCATCTAGGTTCCATCTGAGAGTTTCGCCTTTTTGACAATATGGTACGTGGGTCTTAGCTGCTGTAGTCGTCTCTTCTTGGCTTCCTTCTTGTTCTGATGCTTCTTCTCTTTAGGTTTTGCTGCTTGGACTGGATCAGCAACAGCCTGAACATGAGAGGGGGGGGGGGAGAACAAGACAATCAATGAATGAGGAAAACAGAGGAAAGGGGCAAAATCTGACTTAATCTTACGTCATGCAAGAGCGTTTTGGTAAGACATATGTGTCAACACACAGAACAATGAATACAACCAAACTGACCTTCACAAATTTTCAACAGTGTTTCTGTGTAACAGCTTTGTCATTCCCAAGTCTGATAGTTTTCTGCATCATTTAAAAGTTGAATTTAAATCACTTATTGAAAATTATTGCTGTGCTCTTTATTCTTCACAGTTCACAATTCACTTGGTTACAGTTTATTTGAATAGCTTGTGACTTGACTTGAGTCTGGATGACTTGTGATGACATGTGATGACTTGTGATGACTTGTGATGACTTGTGATGACTTGTGATGACTTGTGATGACTTATGATAACTTGTGATGACTTGATATGACTTATGGTGACTTTAATATCATCATATTAAAGTCCTCACAAGTCTAGAGTCCCTTAAACACGTTCTTACATGTTTCCTGGACAAAAAGTGCCAGTCCAAAGAAATAATGCATAAATTGATATGACTTGTGACTGACTCGATTACAGCTCCTAGGAAAAGTGACTCTAATTTACCTGTAGCGCCCTCTGTTGTTTGCTTTGGATTCTGGTCTGTGTGATGACCCTTTGGACGTCAGCATAAGCATGAGAGAATGTCTCCAATCCCACAAGGCCCTTGATGAGATCCAATGCTTCCTGACAAAGCTGACGAAGATCGTTGTCTGGTGGAGAAATCAAGACAAGAAAGTCTGATTACTAAAAACCAATCAAGAAAAGCATCGCTGTAGATCCAGAAAACAACAATCGTACTTGTTCATTCACAATGAGAGTAATAACAAGAAGTATCAGTTTCTTTATCAGTCTCAGTGAATTGACACGAACTGTGCTATACATGATATCAGAAACTACTTCTAAAAGATTTAATCAGTGGCTTCTAAAATTTCAATTCATAATTTACACAGATCTCACTTTTTTTTTATGGTTCAACACCTTATCAAATACAACAAAATCCCTGAATGCATAGTGAATAATATAGTAAAATATTTTTAATGGTATAATTTTAATTTCTCCTTTAAAATATAAGAACTCAAAAGGCTGCTGAAGCTGCATTTCAAACTGTAAATGAATATTCAAATCCGACAAGGCAAACCATCTGATGTAATCGAACATTCAGAATGAAACCGTGCTAAAATTGACATTTTTCCAGCTTTTGTATTCACAAATCATGCTTCTTACTGTTTCTGTTTGACATTGTTCATTGTTTAAAATATTCCCTCAAAAACTAGTTCAGTAGAAGTGTTCACACAATAGATGTGTCTCACCTGCGTGTGACTTTTGATCACCGATCTCCCGACACATCGGCTTCATCATTAGCTTCAGATAACTGGGCAATCTGTCTCCTCCTACATCCATTGCCATGGCAGCAAGCCACTTGACAACACAAGTCTGTCTCAGAGTCTGTTTGGGTGTCTTGGCTGCCTCTGAGGCAGCGATGCGACACATCCTCCTCAAGAACCAAGTCAAGTCAGCGGGGCTCGGAGTCCGACGTCCAAGTCCTTGTTTGTCCGTGTTGGTGGTATTCTGCTCTGCAGAGAGCTTGGGAGTCCTTTCATCATTTTCATCATCATTTTCATCTTCACTGTCCGATCTCTCCTCCATTTGGTAAATCTAAGTTTTATCCGGATACAAACGGTGATGACCTTGGATGACTTTTCCAAGGAACACAAGATTTCTCACAACCTGAAATGAATTCAGTCATCAGAATAATTCAATTATCATAATATTGTCAAAACACAAAACTGTCATAAACTAACCAGGTATCTTGTTAATAAAAATGTGAAGACTCAAGAATCTACCTTCTTGGGCTGCAAACATTTCATGTTTTAATGAAAATTGACACGAATTGGATAAATGTCACATCAAAATCACAATGGTCCAAGACATAATGTCGAGTCAATCATAATTTAGGTTACATGTCAATCACAAGTGAGTTCACGCATAAGACCAAAAGAACAATAAACCTAAATTACAATGCAAGTGCCCAAATTTGACTGAGAATTAGGCAGAAATATGCTCTCAAGTGCTTATGCTTGCAGTAGATAAATCTTAATGATTTCTTACCTGATCTCCAAGATCTTTGTTCAGCAAGGCCAACTGAAGCTGCTTGCAAAATGTAAAGACTAACTCCCTGACGATTTCCTGTCCATGGTTCAATGGATACTCCACCGCCTCCACTTTACCTGTGACTCCGCCCCTTTCTTTATCAGCCTTCCTCTTGCGTTTTGTCTTCTTCCCCATCCGATTCTCATTGGCCGAGGTGTTAGTAGTCTAGGTACCAGACGCAGCTTTCAGCATGGTCCTGGCAATGATGTCTGGTTGTTTTGAAGCAAACAGGTCTCCAAAGAGCTGGGCCGAAACCAGACGCACCCAGGAGTGCGGATGGAGAAGATGAGATTGGATGGATCTGAAGAAATCAGAAAAGATCAAATTATTTCAAAGTGAATGAATTTTTGGTTTATCCGTTGAGTTGGCATTGGGGTTTTGACTAAAACCCTCTGCACTGGTTAGTAGAATACTGGGGTTTCAGTTTTAGTCAAATAAACTTACGACTACTTGTTACATTTAGTTTGTTTTTCAACAGCTTTTAGAAGGGTGCAAATAAATATAAATGACAAAATTTATTCAGATTCAGACAACCTAGAAAAACTATTCTGATTGTTTTTGCAGGTTCCACTAGCCAAGCTAACCAGTGCTGGCATTTACTACTGCTTTATCTCACTCCAAATCTTACCCCAGATTGCATTCAGGGTGTCTGTGTACGCCTTGTTGCCGATGATCGAACAGTGTTTAATCATCTTGGCTAACGCTGATAGCAAGTTGAACAACATGTGATCTGTATGTCTCTCCTCCATAGATGTAACATCTGTCTCCATTGCAGACATGCCATCCTGAGCAAGGACAAAATAAAGAGAAATTCATCATCGTAACCATTTTGTTAGGGGGGGGGGGGTAGGGAGGTTGACGGGAAACAGTGTGGGACCAATGATTCTTACAAGCGGCGCCAACTCATCAATTTCAAGAAGTGTTGAACCCTTACTCTACTTCAGCCTCCAAAAATAAATATTCACTTGAAGAGAATGCCCAATTCCACCTGTTTCCAGGGTGAGCTTTACTATGTGGGTGAATAGCCACATGGCAAGCAATGTCAAGGCAATCGTCTGCTAAGCCCACGCCTACCTTCTGCAACCCATCTGGTTTGATATGTTCCTGCATCTGAGGAAGTATGTCATCCAACCGTCGCTGGAAACCTGCCTCCTCGGCATCGACAAAGATGCCACAAAGCTGTGAGGAAAGACGCTGATGGGCTGGTTTGTCGTCATGGAGCCAGTGGGTTGCCATGGTGAAGAGTTCGTCTCTCTTCTCTACCCATAACTGGAAACCAAAACAAATGACAAAAACAAAACATAAAAAGTAGGCCAAGAATTATGATAGGCCAATGAAATAAATAATAATCTGTATTCAATTTCTTCCAAATGATTAAAAACCTGGCTATTTCTGACACAATTTGAGGAGAAAAATTTACACTGGTTGCTCTGAAGTTAATTTCCATTCAATGGACAATTCTTTTGTAGGTTGAGGTAGCTTGCTCCAGTGGTAACTCTATTGTCTGAATGGTGCCCTATCTAATGACTTCATGAGTGAAAAAATAAAAATTCTACACTGTATGGCATTCCAATTTATATAATTTTTTTGGACATAATTAAAACATTTTTTCTTTACCTTCTGCAGCAATGACCTGATGGCCAATGCAGTGATCTTGCGACATTTAGCTGATTCATCGTTGACTAGTCTTGTTGCCATCGGAATAAAAAACATTCCTGCATACGTCTCCAGTGTTTTCTGTATCAATAACACCAAAATGTAGATCTAAAAATCAAAGAATGTTTTTCAGTATTAAATTGTTTTAACTGATGCTCAGAGTATTAAACTCCAAATGTTAACAAAAATTGTTGAGCATTATCTTATTAATTATATTCAATATCCTAAGATAATAGGGAGGTTTCGCAAGTGAACGGATACGCTTACACTTACGTTTAGCTATCCGTATCCGTTTTTTACTTACGTGTAGCGAGCGAGATATGCGTGTCGTCTGCACGTTTAGCGGATAGTGAGTGGCGTATGATGTCATACGTGCAGACGACACGCATATCTCGCTCGCTACACGTAAGTAAAAAACGGATACGGATAGCTAAACGTAAGTGTAAGCGTATCCGTTCGCTTGCGAAACCTCCCTAATATTCCATTGTTTAGGTAATAGTATCACACCTCTGAGTTATGGAACATTAATTTAATATGAAACTTACAAGTCTAAATATGATGAATTGAGCTCATCAATAGAAAATTCCCCAAAAAGGAGGATTTCTGACCTGTGGGAATGATGAGAAGATAGTGGCCAGCATCTCCAGCGAGGATTCACGGCCAGTCTCAAGGTCAAAGTTCAACTGTCTGACATAGAACTCTAGGTGGCGCTTCAGTTTGTTCCCAAGAGGGTAGTCCAGAAGGAAATTCAGTACAACCTGTGAAAGAAGAAACATGCAAGAAATATTGCTGGTTTGTGCAAAAGTGCAAAACATCAGAGTGCAAAATCAAAACATTAGATTTTGCTTACTTTTAAACTTATATTTTTTTGAGGTCTTTAGAATTAGACAGTCATTTTCAAATATTTCTTATTTCTCATCAATTTATGTCCACACTCCTTATTTAAAAACAACGACTAGATAAATGTCCAATAAATAATTGCAATCACAAAGATATAACCGCCAGTCAATTCAAAAGTATAGTCAAAAGGTTCATTTGAAAAGCTTGTGATGGGACTGGATGACTTGTGAAGACTTATGACAGACTCAACTACAGCCTTGCCCCAAAACTGTAAACATTCAAAAATCTATCTTACAATTCTTGAAATCTTACGTATGGTTAGGGTGGAACATTCTTGGTACAAAGAAAAGCTTGAAATCCTACTTATGCTCAGTCTTTACTATACCTGTCTGCATTGTAATCTGACTGAAGGACTCTCTGATGTAATCGATAGCTGAGCAACCTTCTTCATCACATCGTGCATCTCGGGTACAATCAACTTCCTCGACCGAATAGCCTGATGAAAACAAAACAGAATTGATTTTCAGGTGAATAAAGCTACTAGACAGAAGTGTGATTTGAACCTGCAACCTTCAAATACTGCACAGGTGTTTGACAGACTGAGCTATCAAGCCCTCAGTTTGCATTCTCTCAGGTGAGGAAAGTACCGCTATGGCAGTCTTAATGCCTCAGCATCATAGTAGGTGAGGCTGTGATCTCATTTTAAGAGAAGGATATTCTTGGACCATGCTTCTTTTTGTGAGTGCATAAGACGACCTTCTTCATGCCAAGAATAGAAAGCCAGGTGTTAACCATTTACCTTGAGTAGACCGAATGCCGTGGCTTGTCTGGTGTGATCATGCATGTCTTCCTCTGCGTAGGTCAGTAGAACCTGTAGTTGTTTCTCATCGATCATGTGTTGCTTCACATCACGGACTAGCACTGTGACAGCCTACAAACAATGACAAGTCAATCACAAGTCAGTCAAAAGTCAGTCACAAATAGAACACAAGTCAATCACAAGTCAATTGCAAGTGTATCACAAGTAAAGCACATGTCAAATACAGTACACGTAAATCACTAGTCAACCATGAGTCAATCATGGATGAATTTCAAGTCAAGCACAAGCCAATCACATAGCAATTAAAATTTTAACACAAGTTTATCACAAGTCAATCACAAGATGATTATCTTATGATTGACTTGTGAAAGAAGTAAAAAACAAGTCAATCACACATGTCAATCACAAGTCAAGCAGTCTTAAGTCAAGTCACAAGCTTTTCCAATAATTTGCAACATCAGGCATTCCTTTCTCACTGTTAATCCCCTAAACTTGAGACAAGTCTTGTGAGAGACTCAACTACAACTCTAAATTCAATTTATATTTATTCCATTCATTCTGCTAGAATAACATGGCTTTATAATTAATTTCTGATTTGAGGTTTTAAATGAACGATATCAAAAACATATGTTTCGTTCATCTGACCTTGAAACAGCTGACGACGATGTCAAAGTTAGCTCCTTTTGCTGCTCCCGCCATCGCGTGGGTGTGCAGGATTTTGAAGAGTATCTTCGTCAATCTGAATGCACTTTTGCTGATGGAGGGCAGAGGGTATCGTAGCATCCATGTGATGCAACGGAGGGCCACTACTGTCACCTAGACAAAGGATGCCATGGATGTCAGAAGAATGAAAAAAGATGAGTTCTGAGGCTCAGATGTGTTCTACCTTTAAAATATGAGAACAAGCAGACAATTGTATGCTGTCTTCTATGAAACTGTTGGACATTTTTACACGTCCATAAAAAATATTTCACATATCGGCAATGAGAAACGGTTGTTGAAGGCATCGTTTGGTCTAGAGAAGCAAGTATGGAGATGTGAGTTTGCAATTACTACCGTATCGATTCTCTAGTTGGAGAGCTAAATGCAGAAGAACCAGGGTTAAATGAAAAGAACTGGGTTCTAAATGAAGATCTGAGATGAGCAGGATTTAACTGACCTTGGTATATTTGGAAGTGAGTGAGTCCATGAGGATGGGAATAAATGGATCCAACATCCGAAGGTGTTGCTGGTTAGATGGAGACAGCTTGGATCGCTTCAGATTCATGTGCAACAACTGAAGTCAAATGCAAAAAGGACAAGTTACTTGCTATCAATAATTGTTTTCAAAGAAGGACCATGACACTACACATGCAAAATAAATTATCTGAACCATCAGTAACACACAGTTGAAAATCATACATTATATCAGAAGTGAAAATAATGAACTAATGTTAGCATACCAGTTTATTCCTAATCACACATTTTTAAACTGAATTTCCAATCGACCGTGAAAACAAACATGATTTTATAAACATTGTAAGGACTTTTAAGTACAAAATGAAATGAATACACATTTCTGTTCAAGTGCCAGCTCAAATTTACTTCATCATAAGCCAATAAAAATTGTTATGAAGTTTTTCGAGGTGGGTAGTCTTACCTGCAATCCAAACTCAACAATGAGGTGCATGTTGGTCTTTTTGCTGACTTTGGGTGCGACTCCGCCCTTCTTGGGGGTTGGTGGGAGGAGATAACAGCTTTCTGGGCCAGCCTGGGGGTCCGGTGGTTTGGTCTTGGCCTTGTCACTGTCAAATGCAAAAACAATTCCAGAAAATCGTTACAAACCAACATATATTTTGTGACGTAAATGAGTAAGAAAAATTCTTCATAAAGTGATTCTCATTCTTGAGACGCTTGATTGGGACAAGGGAAATGTTCCTTAGTATGTAGGATTAAATTTTTGGACTCCAAAAAAAGGTTACAAAGTAAATATTACAAAAAAGGCATTCAATGTTCAATTATATAAGGTGTTTATTTTCAATTAATGTTTACTTCATTAACAGTGATGAGCAGAGGTTTGTGTCATGTTCTGAGAACAATCAACGGTTCATACCTGTCACTGGGGTTGAGGAATGGAATGGTCTCTGTTGCCAGTCCGTGAATATAGATCAACATAGCATCCACAGTAATGCCTGGATTGGCTATCCAGTGCTTCTCAAGGGAGCTCTGGTCTGAGTCCGTACCATCCCTGTGAAGTATCAGCAAGGTATACATGCAGTGATGTACTTGGTGCGGTCCTTCTCCTGGGCCGTATAGTGCTTCTCAAGAGAGCTCTGGTCCGAGCCGAGTCTGTTCTAGCCGTGAGAAGCAGTCCTTCTCCTGGGCCTTATACTGTGCTTCTATAGTGCTTCTCAAGAGAGCTCTCTGATGTGAAGTGAGCTGGTAGATCTGCCATCACCTGGTCAAGAAAATTGAATATTGTCAATTTGAGAAAAAATGTTTGATACTGATTGAGACATTTACTTGTATTCATTATTAGCTACATGTATCCTGCAAACTCGAGTGGAACAACCCAGCAGGCACCGACCGTCAGACTGACGTTGTATAATGGTTGTTTTATGGTCGCAACGTCGGATCAACCATACATAACCGAAAATCAACGTTGTTTTAGTCGACCAAAAGCCGACGTTGTCATTATAACGTCTGCCAGACGTTGCTTTAGTGTCGACAATTTAACGTCAGAATTTAACGTAACAACAACGTCGAAATATAGTTGGAATTTGGTCGGGAATATTACCAAACGTAATTTCAACCATGGTATGACGTTGTTTTGTCAACGTCTATACAACTGACTGAAAAACAACGTTGTATTATTGTTATTTTTGCGTTTCCCTTCGCGACGTCGCAATTATGTCATGTATTCAACCAAGATATGACGTTTGCTTTCTAACGTCGTTTCAACAACTCAAAAAACGACGTTGAATTATGGTTGGCCGTCGGTTATAATATCCGACGTCGTACTTATGTCATGCTTTTGACTAAAATGCAACGTCCGTTTTTGACGTTTTTTGAACGACTCAAAAAGTGACGTTGAATTATGGTCGGCTGTTGGTTATAATATATGATGTCGTTATTTGGTCATGTTTTTAACCATTATTTTACGTCCGTTTTCTAACGTCGTGTCAACGAATGAAATAATGACGTTGTTTTCCGGTCGTTTGATGGTTATAATATTTAACGTCATTATTAAGTCACGGTTTCAACCAAACTATAACGTCAGTTCTCTGACGTCTTTTCAGCGACTCAAAAATGACGTTGGATTATGGTCAGCCGCTGGTTATAATATTTGACGTTATTTTTAAGTCATGTTTTCAACCATGATATTACGTTTGTTTTCTAACGTCGTTCCAATGACTCAAAATCGACGTTGTATTGTGGTTGGCTGTTGGTTATAATATCTGACGTCGTATGCTTTCAACCAAAACACAACGTCCATTATCTGACGTCATTTCAACATCTTACAAAGCGACGTTGAATTGTGGTCGGCTGCTGGTTATAATATTTGACGTCGTTATTAGGTCATGTTTTCAACCATGATATTACGTCCGTTTTCTAACGTTATTTCAACGAATCAATTAATTACGTTGATTTTTGGTCAGTGGATGGTTACAATATTTAACGTCATGGTTTTACCTAAAATATAACGTCCGTTTTCTGACGTCTTTTCAGCAACTCAACGTTGAATTGTGATCGGCTGTTGGTTATTTACATTACGTCGACAGTGTCATGGTTTCGACCAAAATATAACGTCTATTTTTCACTTAATTTATTCAGCAAATAAAACAAGTCATTAAACCGGAATGCATGTGCAACGTAGTAATTAATTCCCAAACGAAATTATCGGACGCCTTTTTAATTTGAACGACTAAAAAAAAGACGTTGAATTATGGTCACCTAGCTGATGGTTATAAATTTGATGTCCAATCGTTATCATCATTGTTTTAACCGAAATATATCGTCCATTTTGAAGATTTTTCCACTTAGCCGCGGCGCGCGCCAATTATAATTGTCTTGGCCCAGAGCCAAGTGCCGCGCGCGCAAAAACCGTATAGCCCAAACGTACGTACACTTAAGCATATGTATGCCCTGTGTGTGACCTCTTGCATTCCAACGAACTCCACTGCTGTACAAGTCTGGCCAGTTTGAATCATCCGTTAAACCAACAGTCACAACTGAAGCAGCTTTGGGAAGAGACATGTTGGCCCAAAATGAACAAGGTTTTTGGCACCTTTTGTGCACAATATTGTCAAGATTCGGTTCTGCGATGGAGTGCAGTTAACATTGGAGATGTTCCCACTCCTGATCTATAAATCCAAGTCAAGATACGACATCAAGATGTATAGGACAAGCACAAGTCAAGATTTCGATTGAACCGCAAGCAAGATGATCTGATTTTGCCATGTCTGAAAATGGTAAGTTTCAAACGCGAATGTTTCTGAGTTAGTGATTTGCAATTTCTTTGAAGGTCAATAGTTTGGAAATTGTATCTTTATTATTATTATGTACCCTACTAGTCATGTCAGTTGTAACTTTAAAATTCCATCAAAATACCTTAACTTCATTGTAGAAAGTTATTAATGTTAGACTAGATGTTGGATGCTATTGTCATTCCTTATCTTAAAAAGAAAGTTACACTAACGATGCCCTTTGTTTAAACATTGAAGATGTAGAAAATCCAAACTAATCAGCAGTCATGCTAGTTCTACCTGCTTTCTATCATCACGTCCAATCTTTATTTAGGCCTAGGAAAAATGAGGTCATTCTAAAGCATATCTCATTATGAGACGACTTCCCACACGTACTGTGTTGATTGAAGATTTAGAATATTAAATTTATTGTGAATTTAACCGCCCCACAACATATTCCGCATCCATCACTAACTCAAACGATCGAAACGCCTCTTTCATTTTGATGCTGATATTTTGAGACAAATACGTTTTCAATCTAGTTTACGGTGTTCAGAGTTTTGGGAATCACGTATAACGATACATTATGCCACTTTTCTTTTGTCGTGTACTCTATTTCATGTTTTATTAATACCAGTATTGGCTATAAAATTGGTTTGTTGTAGTCTTTGCAAAGCACTTAGAAACACGGCGTACGAAGCGCTATTAATGTTAATTTTTATCCTTATAAAGAAAGTTACGGTGCTTGCAATTTTAAAATTCTTCATTAATTAATTTCAGTAAAATTCGTTTCTTGGAATCGCATGAAATCGCCCATTAGAATTAAAATAGGCCTATGCTTCGACTTGTCTTCTTCATACATGTAAGAATTATTTTTAATACTTTTTTGGATTTCTAAAAATTAAACTCAAAGAATCTGTTTTGTTTTAATTATTTACGAGTCACCATTATTTGAAAAATGTGTTGGTATTCAAGAAAATTAACGACGTTGTTCATTTTCCCCCTTTTCCAGCTCTCTGCTTTGGTCAGTTGAGGGAGACGAATACACTACCCAAGCCCTACTTTACGTGGCCCCATGCACCATCAGGATCCACATCAACCGCCTGATGTCTTCTATACCTGCACAAATATTCACAAAAGAGATTAGAGATCATGTCTGTGTTGGTTGTGATTCCGCGTGGTAATGAAATCTGATGTCAAAATAAATTGATCGGCCTATTAACATTGAACATTTGAAGCGTCTAATTGACATTATTTAAGCCTGTCAGACTGACGCCACTATTTTGAATATTGACTAACGTTAGAAAACTTACTTTTTTCACTGTTATTTCGGTTGTGTATTATAAGAACCTAGCCAACCAGTTTATTAAAAAAAATGAACAAGTTGTGTAATATTATACACAAGTTGTGTAAACAACGGTTTACACAACAGGTTGCTAGCTTCATATATTACACAACCGTTTGATTTTTACACAACCGAAATAACAGTATTCAATGTCTACAAAAATAACATTTGCAACCATGTACTGACCTAACTTCAATCATGGAATTCAAACATTGAAAGGACGTTATTACGACGGTCAGATAGACGTCAATTTTGACCTCACACAGACGTTATAATTTGGTCATTTTTCGACGTCTAAATAACTTCAACTGCGACGTCCTGTCGACGTCCATTCAACCAGACAAATCATGGTCAGACTGACGTCATAATTTGACTATATATGGACGTTAGATTTCGGTCAGGTTTTCGACGTCTAAATAACTTACTTTTTCAACCATATTCTGACCTAAATTCAACCAACAATCTGACGTCCTGTAGACGTCCATGTAACCAGGTAATCATGGTCAGACTGACGTCATAATTTGACTATAATCGGACGTTAGTTTTCGGTCATGATTAGCAGTTAATCATGGTCAGACCGACGTCACAATTTTGACCACATATCGACGTTAGAATTTGGTCAGGTTTTCAACGTCTAAAAAACTTACACTTACAACCACTACGGCAACCAAAAAACAACGTCGGAGTTGGTCGGAATCTGACGTCAGATAGACGTTAAATCGACCAAAAATGCCTGCTGGGAAGGTTAAAAAAATAGGTTAACCAGTTTGCGTCGGACAACGTGTATACAACCAAAGATTTTGCGGTATTCGTAGCGGATGACAGATGAACAAGCAATGATAGCTGAGTCCTATAAATAAAGATGTCAAATTGGTTCAGAGAACTCTTGGAGTTTTTAAGAATAAATTATTGTTTCACTGAAGAAGAAGTGTCTTTGCTCCCTTATTAGTCCCATCCTTGTAGATAGGATAGGATGCCTGGTTATATATCTTTGATACAAACAAATCCGGGAAATATAAATTTATAGTGACTTGGCATCATTACATCTTGCAAGGTGACAGAAGAAAGTCCTGAATAGCGCCCTCTACCCTCTACCTCATCACCCGGCCGCAGCATTACATGACAAAAACAATGAAACAAGCCCATTGGTTTTACTTTAAACATGCCAGACCTTACTCCATATTTTTTATACGTGTTAATTTGGAATTTTCCAAGATTTATTCAAGTGTGCCACGTCAGGGAACACTCCGCCTATTTGTGCCCAATTTCCGGATGCCACCGTTTTTGAATTTCGGATTAAATTTTATGAAACCGAATTTGTTCACAGAGGTTAAATAGCAAGCATTAATAAGGTAAAAGTACCAGCATTTCACTGCATGAATTTGAGGTTTGTCCACAAAGAGGTTTGGCAACAGTACACGAGGAAAGTCGGGTAAGCTTCGAAGTGCGCCATTTTAGGAAACACGACTATACCCATGTTAGTTTTACATATGCTATGTGGACATTCCTTTGTTTTCGTGTAGTTAAGAAAATTCGGTACAAAAAATAACTTTACTTAAACTGTG